TTTGATGACTGTACCCTCACTGAGCCTCAGGGTTCCCAGAATGGGTTAAATATATACCCCCCAGGGTCATTGTGACCCTTGCCTAAGACAGTGTGGGTCTCGGTTGGGCACGGTCACTGGCACCGTGGCAAGTTAAAACCGTGTCACCTGGCACCAGCCTTAGATTTCCTAATTAATTAGCAACTCCTAGAGGAACGGGCAATGCTAGAGGAACACCCACCGCCTACGATGGTAGGCATTCAGAAACGCTCCACTGCTTCTTACCAGCTTTTGTGGTCCCTTCCAGCCAGCCAGAGGGAGCGTAGGACCATTGCACAGCACTTAACCGTGCTCCCAAAACCCATGTCTGCCTCCACAGGGCCCTCAGATCTCAAAAGCCCAGCCCTTGTCCTCCCAGTTGATTTTTTTATTGAACAAATGTTTATTGAGGGCCTGCTGGGTACCAGACACAGTTCCAGGGAGGGGCAATGTAGGCAAGACGCACAGCATGGGCGAAGGCTCAGAGGGTCCGAGCTGAGGACTCAGGCACTTCCCGTACCCATTCATTCACCCTGTTCTAGCAGCATCTATGGTGTGCCAGGACTCATCCCAGGCCCTGGGCTACAGCTGGAGCTGAGGGGGTGTGAATGGGGAGGCAAGCAGAGAGCTTGCCTGTCCCTCTAAAATTTGCTAATGAATTAGGAAATCTAAGGCTGATGCCTGGTGACGCCGTTTTAACTTGCCATGCAGACTGGGAGCAGCAGAGAAAGCAGGCACCTCCCTGCCCAGTGCCCGCTTCAGGGCTTTGCTGATGCCTCAAAGGCTCACCAAGGCCCCTGCAGCTCAGAGCCCACTTCTCAGCTGAGAAGACTAAAATTAGAGATGAAGGTTCTGCTTGGGGTGGGAATGAGGGCAGGGCTGCGGTCCTATGGCCGCTCCTGGCACAAGAGCCTAGGGGTTAGCGTGGCATAAGAGGTGTAGGAAGCTTGTCTTGGCCAAATGAAGCCCAGATGTTGGAGGGGAGACCTAAACCCCACCCACAGAGGTCTGGAGTCAGGGCCAGGCTCTTCTGAGACACTTCTTCCCCACCAGTGGACTCCTACTTGACCTTGACCTCAGCTTGGATGGTTCCTCCTCCCGACAGCCTGTCTGGACTTTCTAGGCTGGGTCAGGTGCCTCCCCTGCCCACCAACCTCTGACTCCTATAACACCCAGCTCTGCCCCGTCTTAGCCTGGGTCCTACTCTATTGCTATTGCTGCCCCCACCAGACTGAGAGCCCCATGAGGGCAGACAGGGGCCCTATCCATCTTTGTGGACTTGTGCCCAGCCTGGCATAGAGTAGGGAATGGCCACAGAATAGCAAACCATCTGGGTGCCTGGGGCGTGGGGCATGGTTGCATTTGGAGACCGTGGACAGGTTATGGTGCCTCGGTTTCCCTAGAACCAGTGCTTCTCAGACCTTATCTAGGGAAGTGTCCATGATGGCAGAGAGGGGAAAGGGTGGTTCTGGCTAGTTTTGTAACCTCCCTCCCCTCAGTGTTCAAATCTGTAAAATGGGACAATAATAGCATCTACCTTGAAGGACGGTTGGAAGAATTAAGTAAGTAAACACAGACAAAGTGCTTAGAACAGTGGGTGGTGCTCAGAAAACCTTGTGTAAGTGTTTGCTGATACCTGATCTTAAACGCAACGTTCCTTCTGCTCTGAGTTGGTTTGTTTTTTCTCTGCTGATATTAACTTTGATCACTTGGTTGTGGTGGTGTCTGCCAGGTTTCTCTACTGTAAAGTTGCTTTTCATTTTCTCTCTGATTTTTTTTTAACCCTTTCTATAATTCCCTACTGCCTTTCTTCGGAGGAGTGTCCAGTCCACAGTCCAGGCAGGGGGCAAGTAAGCTTTACCCACTAGAGGGAAAGAATCCATTCCTTTGAAATTCATCTTTAAGGAAGGTTTGCCTAGTCTCTCTCCACTTATTTATTTATTCAGGCATTTATTTTTCTGTTTTTTTTGAAATGAGGTCTCACTCTGTCACCCGGGCTGAATTGCAGTGGCACAATCTCAGCTCACTGCAACTTCTACATCCCAGGCTCAGGTTATCCTCCTGCCTCAGCCTCCTGAGTAGCTGGAACCATAGGCAGATGCCACCATGCCTGGTTAATTTTTTGCATTTTTCTTTTCTTTTTTTTTTGAGATGGAGTCTCGCTCTGTTGCCCAGGCTGGAGTGCAATGGTGTGATCTCGGCTCACTGCAACCTTCGCCTTCCAGGTTCAAGCGATTTTCCTGCCTCAGCCTCCTGAGTAGCTGGGATTACAGGCACCCACCACCATGCCTGGCTACTTTTTGTATTTTTTTTTGTAGAGACAGGGTTTCACCATGTTGGCCAGGCTGGTCTTGAACTCCTGACCTCAGGTGATCCACCCTCCTTGGCCTCCCAAAGTGCTGGGATTACAGGCATGAGCCACCACCCGGCTGGGCTGGGTGTTCTTATTGCTACAGGGGTGTCTCTGCATCTAGGCCCTCTAGGAGACAGATCTGGATTTGCTTTGATTTAAAAATAAAGTTTCCTGTCCTGCCAATTGTAGGGTCTACTGGGGACTGCAGACAGCTGCTCATCAGGCTTTGAGCATCGGACCTGTCCATGGCCCACGGATATACGTGTTCTCACATGTCCAGGGCTCCAGAGAAGAGAGCACATGCTAAGCCGCTTCCCGAATTCATTCCTGCTCATCAGCAGGGCCATGGCTGAGTTGCTTTGGGAAAGGGACTGGTCTTGATGTGCCCTCATAGCCCAGATTGCTGTGGGTTTGCAAGCTGCAGGCTGACTCCCTGCTGGGCCAACAGCTTTGTCAGTGGTAGTGACAGTAGCCATAGCCCAGCCATAGAGCTCTGGTGGCCACCTGGGTCAGGCCAGGCCAGGGTCAGGCACCAGGAAGGCCCGACTCAGCCACCGTATCCAGCACACGCAGGCAGCCCAGTGCTAATGGGAGGAAGGCCCAGCAGGTGCTCCCTGCACTCCCATTGCTCACCCAACCCCAGCCACACCTGACACAGGGGATCAGGTGTCTCATGGATGCCCCGTGGGCCAGGACCCAGAGGGCGGCATCTCTCCTGCAGCAGCAGGGTTCAGGGCAGAGCGTGCCAGCCTTGAGACCCCAGGGCAGGCAGAACACCCTCTCAACTTTGCCAGCACCTCTCCTGTATCTCCCCAGAGCTCCAGGCTGACAGTCAAGAACCCTGGCTTCCAGGCCTGCCTCTACCAGTGGCAACAATCATACCACTCCCTGCTTAAAACCTTCAGTGCCTCCTTATTGCCCTCAACTTGAAATCCCCACTCCTGGGCCTGTCTTACAAGGCCCTGGAGACCTCTCCAGTGCCCCACGTCATGCCTTAATAACACCAAATTGCTTGTGGTTCCCTTGCACAACTGTGTGGTTTCTCGCCCCCGCACTCACTCTGCATCACCCCTCCCTTGGCTTCTCTGGTTAACTCCTAGTAGTCTCTGAGGTCTCAGCTCTGGGCCCGTCTCCTCCAGGAAGTCTTCCTCCTGGGCCTTAGATCATCTGCTCCCTGGTTATGTTCCTGGTAACCTTTGTTTGACACCTTCCTAACCCCCACTGTGAATGACCTCTGACATGCAGGGTGGCAACCAGTACAGTGGAGAAGGCTCAGGTTTGAAATTAGGACTCTGGCCGGGCTTGGTGGCTTATGCCTGTAATCCCAGCACTTTGGGAGGCTGAGATGGGTGGACCATCTGAGGCCGGGAGTTTGAGATCAGCCTGACCAACATGGAGAAACCCCTTCTCTACTAAAAATATAAAATTAGCCGGACGTGGTGGCTCATGCCTTTAATCCCAGCTACTAGGGAGGCTGAGGTAGGAGAATCGCTTGTTCCCGGGATGTGGAGGTTGCAGTGAGCTGAGATCACGCCATTGTACTCCAGCCTGGGCGACAGAGCGAGACTCTGTCTCAAAAAAAAGAAAGAAAGAAGGAAAGAAGGAAAGAAGAAAGAAAGAAAGAAAGAAAGAAAGAGAAATAAATAAATTAATTAATTAAGACTAGGACCCTGGCTTTTCTTTTCTTTTTTTTTTTGGAGACACAGTCTCACTCTGTCGCCCAGGCTGGAGTGCAATGGTGCGATCTCGGCTCACTGCACCCTTCGCCTCCAGAGTTCAAACGATTCTCCTGCTTCAGCCTCCCCAGTAGCTGAGATGACAGGCGTCTGCTACCATACCCAGCTAATTTTATTTTTATTTTTATTTTTAGTGGAGACTGGGTTTCACCATGTTGGCCAGGCTGGTCTCAAACTCCTGACCTCAGGTGATCCACTTACCTCGGCCTCCCAAAGTGCTGGGATTACAGGCGTGAGCCACTGCACCCAGCCAGGACTCTGGCTTTTCTTGAGACTGCTGTGTGACTTTGGGCTAGTCACTGCCTGTCTCTGAACCTCCATCTCCTCATCTGTGAGAAGAACATCCCACTGGGATTTCTGGCCTTGTTTTCAATTCTGGCCTCTGCCCCTAACTTGCTGTGTGGTCTTGAGCAGGCACAGTTGCTGGGCTCCAGCTTGGTTTTCCTTTTCTGTAAAATGGGGCCGCCCACAAAACTCATAACTAAGTGTTGAGGTTCCGACAAGCCGGAACCTGTGAAAAGCTTGTGTAAACCTCAGAGCCCTACATGGATGCTTGAAGGATCTATTTCGACAGCTCCGGGGAGCCGTGGGAGGAAAGCTGACGGCCGCTCTTGCTGTTCTCCTACCTCACAGCCCTCCGGAAGCCTCTGAAAAGCCTGGAGATCAAAGGCGATTGGGGCCTGCCGGCATGGAGGCTGGGCTCAGCAGAACCTGCTCCCTGGCCCCTGCCTCCCTCCCACCCATCCCTACTCCCAGGGTTATGCGATGTGTCCACCTTGTGCACGAATCTCTGTTTAAATACTCAGGGTTTAAGGGGAACCCTCAACCCCTCAACTCCCACCCAGGAAGCTCTGGGACCCCACTGCTTTTCCCAAGACTGAAAGCCAAGATCAGTTTGAATCATCTGCAACTTTATTTCAGAGCAGAAATAAGTCATTTTCTAACAATAAATATAAAAAAAATAATAAATAAGATTCGAAAAAAATTTCCAACAAAAAATCATTAACACTGACAGAAAAGTAGTTGCTATCTAAAGGGGTGAGAGATGGGGCCGACCGGGACATGGGCAGGATGCTCCTGCAGCACCGGTCCCCGGGTCCCCAGCTCAGGAATGTCTGACACAGGCCACCCTCTGTCCCCAGCCCTGGCGGGGCCCCCGACACACACACACATTCTCTCCACAAAGTACAAAATATATATTTAAAAACCTCCACACAACCAAGCATCTTGCGAAGGCCCAGGAATCAAGGGTTTGACCCATCAGGGATGAGGACGGGGCCCGGGGGTCTGAAGAAGGCACTTGAGGGACAGGGACCACTTTGGGTCTCGCCCAGTCAAGTTCACAGTCTGCCCTCTTAGCGTGAGGAAATGGGGCTTGAGGTACCCTGTTCACTTGGCGCTGGGGCAAGCCCTCCGTCTCCTGAGATGGCCTCATGTGGGAGAAGGCGAAGGGGAGGTGGGTTTGGGAAGGTCGCCCGTGTCTGACGGCCACGGTGGGGCTCCTGCTCCAGGGATGCCAGTTTCTTGCTAAGTGCTCGGCTGCGTGTCCCTCGCCCGGCTCAGCATCCCTGGGTATCTCCTCAGTTCCGGCCAGGGTGCCATTCAAGACCCTCCAGCAGAAGTTCCAGGGGATATCAGCAGGAAATAACTAGAAATAAATAAGGTCCTCGGTGGCCCGTCGCAGCAGGGAGGCCACTCTGTGTCTTCAAGTATTCTTGGCCGAGGGGACTCGAGGCCCTGTCGAGGCTCAGATGGGGATCCCCACTGTGTTCACCTGGTCCTTGAGTCCCAGCAGGCTGTAGGCGATGCGCTTCTGGTGGCCTGGCAGCCGCACCCCGATCCTCTTGATGTCGCTGTGGGCCCGGAGGGAGAGAGGGAGAGTTAGGGGCTGGAGCAGGGGAGGGGGCTGGGCTGGGCAGGGACAGGACTCGGTGGGCAGCTGGTGAGGGGAGTGGAGGGGGGCAGAGGAAGAGGGCAGAGAGGGGGCCTGGAGGACCTGTAGGGCAAGAGAGCTCCGGTTAGGTGGGCCTAGGAAAAGGAGCCACAGCCTAGAAGCCTTCCAAGGTGGCTCCCCATCAACAAAGTTAGGAAAACGACAGAAGCCCCCAACTCTGTACAATGCTTAAAAAAAAAAAAATCTTCTGAATTATCTGGGAGGTAGGTGCTCTTTTCATCCTCATTTTGCAGATTAGAGAACTGAGATCAGAGGTGAAGCAACTTGCCCAAGGTCACACAGCTAGGAGGTGGAAGAGCTGGGAATCAAAGCAGCTATGAACAAATGCCTCCCCTCCTCTCACCCCGAATCTGTCCCCAGCGCCCCAGCTAAGGCCCCCTTCCTAGGAACTCTCTAGGGATGTCGCTCAAAACCCCTCTGCCCAAGGTCTCTTCCCACCCACTGCCTTATTTCTTTCTCATTCCTTCTAAGTTCCCACTGCTGGTCATGAAGGAAGGACTCAGGAAATACTTGAAGGGCTAAACTCTGCGAATCTCCATAGGTGGGGCTTGCGGGTCACCAGATCCAGTGTCTAGGAAGGTGTCTTTCCTTGGGGGAGCCTCAGTTTCCTCCCCTGTAAAATGGGAGCTAATGTCCATCTGGAGGGCGAGAGACCTCAAAACCAGCGGCCAAGGGGGAAGGCAGCATCAGTACCAGATGGACAGAGGTGCCAGGAACCCTCCTTTCCCGCCCCCACAGGGCACACACTCTCCCGCCTCCCCCTTCCATGCCCCTCCGTCCCCTCATGAAATCACTTATGCTCCCACGAACCTGTGAGGAGGGCATTTATTACTCACTTTGGGAGTTTTCTCCTCCACCGTCCTCACCCACTAGCCCAAACCCATGAAAACACCCAGGTTTTTATGGGCCGTCTTTTGGCTGTAAAGGGAGTTAATTATACGGTGCAAGCTCCTAGCTGCAGTTCTGCAGACGTGACTTTCCCACAGGCTGCAGGAGCCCTGGGACAGGCACAGAGAGGGAAGGACAGACCCAGGTGAGTTCACTCCAGGACCTCCAGCAGAGGCCGGTGCTCCCACGGCAGCAGGAAGGTCAGGACATTTGGGACACTCAGGAGAACCTCCTATGCTACAGCCACAGGACGTTTCTAATCTATCCAGCTGGAGGTGCTGAAAAAGCAGCAGTTTCCCACACACCTGAAGGTCTCAAATTGTGGCCCCTGGACAAGCGCTAAGACCACGGGGAAGGAGACAGGACCCCTAGCCCGACCCCAGACTCACTCGACTTGCAATTCTGCAGGTGGGGCAGGGAGTCTGCATTTGGTTGAATCCCAAAAACCTAACATCCGGTTTAAGAACCAGTGGGTTGTAAAGTCCAGGAGGACAAGTGCTGAGACCTTGAGCCCATCACCCCCACAGCCTCTGTTCCCCCTCCCACCCCGCCCAGGGTCCAGGATAAGCCTGGCACATAGTAGGTCCCCAGGGAGTGTCTGCTGCACGAATGAATGAGCAAATGAATGCTTTAGCAGAGCCTGGGCCGTTTCTGGGCCACCTCTGGTCCCTCTTCCAAACGACAGTGGTTAATCTCACAGGATGGGAGCACAGTTTGCTTCTGAGGCCCTGCGTAGAAAACTCCAAGACCATATACCCAGTGAGCTCCTACTGTGTTCTGGCCCTGGATGCAGGGGACGGGAGTGAGAAATGGCTCCTGGAGCCTCACACATCAGATTATTCATTCATTCAGCAAGCATTCCTTCAGGGCCAAGCCTATGCTACGGGCACTGACTGGAGACCCTAAGATCTACCAGACTATGCTCTCGATCCCCACACAGAATGCAGATGCTGTAATCCCAGCTCTGGACAAAGCCTGGGGTTTGGCTGAGTCTTTTTCTGGGGTGCAACATCCACCCCTTTCATCAGCTGCTCACAAAATATCTGGGACCACTAGTCTAGCTAGAAACCCAACTGACTCCAAAATAGCAAAAATGGAGAAGAGAAAGTGGCTGTGGGACCCCAGGGGAACAGGCAGCTGGTCCCTTGGGAGGAAGTCAAGGAGGCCAAGAAGTGGGGCAGGTGGGAGACTGAAGCCTAAATCCTGATCCCACTGGGAAAGGCACGCATTCCCCTACAACCAGCTCCAAGCCTCCCATTGGGATCCATGGTGTGTGTAGACCCAGGCTTCAGGTTTTAAAAAGTCCTTTGAGATCCCCATTTATTTGGAAAGAGGCAGAGGGGAAGGAGGAGGCAGTGGCGGTCCGAGTCATGCCGGCCCCAGCTCTGAGCACCAGTGCTGGTGGGAGGAGTGGGGTTGAGGGGGCAGGGGGGCGCCGAATGACTTCCTGTCTTTATCCAGGCCTTTCACAACAACACACACTGCAGCACACACACACACACACACACACACACACACACACACGAGCCTCCATCCATCCAAGACCGACTGTCCCGGCTCGTGGGAAAGAAATCAGCCAGGAGCACCCCGGGCTATTTTGGGAAGCTTCTAAGAACATGTGCTTCCTATAAACACTTCTCTTGCCCTCAGCTCTGGTCGCCAGAAGAGAGGCTGTGTTGTCCTTGGTGGGAGCTCCCAGAGGGTCAAAGGGTCTGGTGGATGTTTCCAGAGAAAAGGAGAAAAGGAAGGGGCATTTGCACAGCTCTGGGGAGGAAAGCAAGGGAGTGGAGGAAAAGAGGAGAGCAGTGAGGATTTAGCGCCTACTGTATACCAGGCATGTCATCTGCACTGCACCCATGTGATCCCATCAAATTTGATCACCCACTAGGAAGCGGCAGATGCAGGACCTAAACTCAGGCATGTGTGCAGAGCCCAATCCTGTGGCCCTGCTGCGCTGGCCGGCAGCAAAAGACATCCTGTGACACATCTCCTCTCCCTACGTCTCCCTGCCTCCCTCTGGTTGGCTCTGTCCCTGCCTGATTCCCATCATTGGCAGTCCCCTGAGGGGGGCCGTGGCCTTGGCCAGCAGGTTGGAAGTCCAGCTAAGCAGCTTCCGAAGGCCCTAGAGAATGGTCGTGAACAGCCTCAAATCCCAGAACTTCTGTGACCCAGAACCATGGGAGGCCCAGGTCGTCCCCTCCATAAGGTTCCCAGAACCTCCCAGCCTCTGGGTCTGTTCCCACCATGACCTTGGACCATGCACGAGCTGGGTTGTTGAAACTCGCCACTATTTTTACAGACACAAAAGGCTAAGAGGGTAGTGTCTTCCCCCTCGTGGGACAGTAGGAGGTGTCTGTGCCAAGGCCATGCCGGGAAAAGTCTCAGTGCCGGAGCTGGGAAGGAGAGAAGCGCTCCCACAGGGAAGCTCGACAAAGGGCCAAAGCCAGGGCCGGCAGGGGGTAAGCGGCACTTCTCGTCAGGTGGGACTGCAGGCTGAGAGCCAACCAAGTGGAGAGAGGTGCCAGCAGTAGGCAGGGGTTCTCTCTCCTGGGCAGCAGCCAGGGCATCGTGGAGAAAAACCCTGCCCCAAACTGGCTGTGTGACCTCAGGCAAGCCGGTAACATCGCAGCCTCGGTTTCTCTACCAAGGACCTCTCCAATCCCTGTGCTCTGGGACCCCACCTGACTGGGGCTGGAATCCTGACCTGTCCCTAGTGGCTGTGGGACCCTGGGCAGGCCATTGCACTTCCCTGTTTCTCACCTGTTAACAGGACCTACCCCACCGGGTTGTCATTCAAAGCGCTCAAGCAGAGCTGGCACACAGTCAGCCCTCAGCAAACAGTAGCTGCTGTTACGATTACACTTACTGGTATTTCCCCACTCTGGTCAAGGATGTAGGAAGAGAAGGGAGCTGAGAGTGGACACTCAGAACTGCCAGCTGCTGGCGGGGTTCTACCCTTCCCTTCCGAGGAGCCTCTTCTCAGAAGAGAAAGAACAAAGAGAGGAGAATTGAGGGGCAGGGAAGAGGGTGGGGGGCAGGGTGGAGGCAGCCTCTGGAGAGGGAGGTGGCGGCGGGTGGCATGGGAAGGGCCTGACTCACTCGTTGGTCATCTGCACCACCTTCTCAATGGCAGTGTAGCCAGCCGCCATGAAGTGCTCCGTGTACTGCTGCATCTTGATAGACTCCAGCCACTCGGACACCGTGCGGAAGGGCACCCCCTCCGAGCCGCTGGTGCTGGGGAGCCGGATAGACACCCTGCCACAGAAAGCACTGTAGGTGAGGGGCTGCAGCACCTGGCACCCTGGATCCCGTGCCTTCTGCTCCCTAAGCTGAATGATTGACTCAGCTGCCCCATGCCTCACTGGGTTTCCTTATCTGGGCAACGGGGAAGCCCAGTCAGGTAGGGTTCAGTGAGATCTCCTGGCACGTTGGGAGCACTCAGCGTCTATAACTATTGCTCCACTCCACTAACAGGACCACCACCAATAACTACCAGATCATAAAATGTTACGAGCAGAGATCCCAGCCACGATCCCAGCCTGACCACTTCCAACCATGTAAGACATTCAGTCTCTCATCAGTAGCTCATGCCTGTAATCCCAGCACTTTGGGAGGCAGAGGCAGGTGGATCACCTGAGGTCGGGAGTATGAGACCAGCCTGATCAACCTCATCTCCACTAAAGATACAAAATTAGCTGGGCGTGGTGGCGCACGCCTGTAATCCCTGCTACTCGGGAGGGTGAGGCAGGAGAACCACTTAAACCCAGGAGGCGGAGGTTGCGGTGAGCTGAGAGCATGCCACTGCACTCCAGCCTGGGCAACAAGAGCGAAACTCCATTCTCAAAAAAAAAAAGAAAAAAAAAAAAGATATTCGATTGCCCTGTGTCTCAGTTTCCTCTTCTACAAAATGAGGATAATTGGAGAACCCATCTTGTAGGTTGTTTAAATGTATGAAAACATACTGAGTGCTCACGCAATGCCCCGCGCACGGACACATCAGCTGGTTGCTTCTATTAGGATTCGCTGGGCCATCGTGTCCACTCTAAGTCAAGCCTACACATACACTCTGAGACCCCACCATGCTCTGACTTCCCCTGGGTGGCCACTCTGCTCAAGTGGTTCAGGAGTCTGCAGAAGGGAAGTTGTGGTCACCATGGGCAGAGGGCACAGAACTCACCGGGGGTCAAAGTCAGCCAGGGTCTTGAGGGAGTCGGGGGCACGGATGAGCTTGTCCAGGATGCTGACGATGTCGGCGAACTTAGGGCGGCGGGCACGCTCCTGCTGCCAGCATTGCATCATGAGCTGGTAGATGGCAGAGGGGCAGTCCATGGGCGTGGGGAGCCGGAAGCCCTCATTGATGGCTTTCATCACCTGGCAGGGACATGAAGGTCAGGGATGCTGTGGTAGGAAGCCACTGAAACCCCATGCAGCCTCCAACATATGGAAGTGGGCAGGGGAGGGAAGGGAAACAAGAACATCCCAGAAATAGACGAGAAGGGCCTTTCTTGAGCTGACACCTAACCTTCAGAGCTGCCCAAAGGGCAAATGCCTAAGGTGCTGTCTCCTGAGTTCCCTGGAGGGACTTTTTTTTCTTTAAGAGGGAGTCTCGCTCTGTCGCCCAGGCTGGAGTTCACTGGTGCAATCTCAGCTCACTGCAACCCTCCAGGGTTCAAGCAATTCTTCTGCCTCACCCTCCCAAGTAGCTGGGACTACAGGCGTGCGTCGCCATGCCTAATTTTTGTATTTTTAGTAGAGACAAGGTTTCACTATATTGGCCAGGCTGGTCTCGAACTCCTGACCTCATGATCCGCCCACCTCAGCCTCCCAAAGTGCTGGGATTACAGGCATGAGCCACCTCACCCAGCCGGGACTTTTTATTTTTTGAGAGACAGGGTCTCAGTCTGTCACCCAGGCTGGAGTGCAGTGGCGCCATCACACCTCACTGCAGCCTCAACCTCCTGGGCTCAAGTGATCCTCCCACTTCTGCCCCCTGAGTAGCTGACACTACAGGCACGTGCCGCCACGCTTGGCTAATTTTTAAATTTTTTGTAGAGATAGGGTTTTTGTCATGTTGTCCAGGCTGGTCTCAAACCCCTGAGCTCAAGTGATACTCCTCCCAAAGTGCTAGGATTACAGGAGTGTGCCACCGCTCCTAGCTAGAAGGCACTTCTGCCCCTGCTTCCTCTCAGGGCACCAGGCAGAAGCCACACTGCACGCCCTCAACCCAGCCTCCCTCCCATCTCTCTTCCCCTCCTTCTCTTCATCTGGCTGCTTACAGTACCCTTGGTCTTGGCAGAGACATGACCTCTTCTGAGAAGCCTCCCAGGCCACCAGGCTGAGTGAGGCAGCAGGCACACAGACACATGAACACACAGAGATACGGACACACATGGACACCCTACTCCTTGTTGCATCTCTGCACACTCTGAACCAGCTCCTGGAACCCAGCCCAAGGCCTGGCACACAGTAGATCCTCAAGAGACATTTACGGAACAAACATAAGAACCTCTGTGTAAACTCTCCTCTGCTCAGCCCCTGGAGTTTGGGATGGGTAAAGGGCTTGAGTTGAGGTCTGGGCAGGCCTGGGGAGGGCAAGGGCACCCACCTCGTGGTTGGACAGCTCCCAGTAGGGCCGCTCGCCATAGGTCATCACCTCCCACATGACAATGCCGAAGCTCCACACGTCGCTGGCCGAGGTGAACTTGCGGTAGGAAATGGCCTCCGGGGCTGTCCAGCGGATGGGGATCTTGCCGCCCTGCAGGGATCCCGGGCCCAGTCACCACTCTCCCCTCTGGCTGGCCCCAGGGCCACTGCAGCCAGGTCCCCCGGCCCCTCCCTGCACTCCTACAGGTGTTCCGCCTCCTAAGGCCCATGCCCAAGTGTGCAGGCGAGAGGACACGGGGCAAGGCGAAGCCTGCTCCCTGGAGATCCCCATCCCAAACTCACACTGGTGGTGTAGGTGGCCTCGGGGTCGTCCTCCAGCACGCGGGACAGGCCAAAATCCGACACCTTGCAGACCAGGTTGCTGTTGACGAGGATGTTGCGGGCAGCCAGGTCCCGGTGCACGTAGTTCATGTTGGCCAGGTACTTCATGCCAGCCGCGATGCCCCGCAGCATACCCACCAGCTGCAGCACGCTGAACTCGCCATCCTTTTCCTGCCAGAGCACAGGCGCTCAGCCACCAGCCAGCCCTGAACCCATCAGGCCAGCCCCAGGCTCAATGGCCGGGCATCCCCGCTCCCTACAACCCATATCCTTACCCGAAGGAACTTGTCCAGGGCCCCATTCTCCATGTACTCAGTGATGATCATCATGGGCTTGTCTGTAGGGTGTGGGTACAAGTGAGAGGTGAGTGGGCCTAGATGTGTGGGAGAGGTGGGCCCAGGTATGGGAGAAGGTGAGCACAGGTATAGGAGAGGTGGGCACAGGTGTGGGGAGAGGTTGGTACAGGTATGGGAAGAAGTGGGCACAGGTGTGGGGAGAGGTGGGCACAGGTATAGAGGAGATGGGTACAGGTATGGGGAGAGGTGGGCACAGGTGTAGAGGAGGTGGGTACAGGTATGGGGAGAGGTGGGCACAGGTGTAGAGAAGGTGGGTACAGGTATGGGGAGAGGTGGGCACGGGTGTAGAGGAGGTGGGTGCAGGAGTAGAGGAGGTGGGTGCAGGTATGGGGAGGGGTGGGCACAGGTGTAGAGGAGGTGGACACAG